AAATCGTCTGCCGTACCGTAACGTAAATACATCGTCAGTTTAACAAAAAAAGAAAAAAAAACGGTCTTTTGGCTAATAAACCTTGCGAACGTGTATTTTACGCGACTCGCATACGAGCTCGGATAATAAAAACGATCTTAACCAAGATGCCGAGGCTACAAAAGACCAGCGTCAAAAATGGAATGAGACAAGTTAGGGGATGAAAAGAAGGGCGGGTCATCCTAATAATTCAGCCCTCGCGCTAAACTCGTAAAAACACAGAGGAGCGGCGGCTAAGGCGCCACCGTGTGCTTCTCCCCAGGAACGTGCATATTTTTTTGGCGCCCGCTGGTAAAGTAACTTCGTCTCTGCGGTCGCGCCCTGGCACTCCGTCATCCACGTGCCTATGGCCGCACGACGTTTATTTAACTTTAAAAGGTAAATTAATGATAGAACCGTACATAAATGAATTCGCATGTTAATGCGACATGCGTTTATTATGCGGAATGGACGCCGGTTTCGTATATTACTACTGCCTGTCAAGTAACGAGTCACGAGTTTCGTTTTCGGTAATTTTAATTTTATGGTTAACCAGCAATGGCGTTAAAAATAGTGTTAATAATTTCATGAAGAATTTATTGCTAGGCGTTGATAATTGTTGAATCACGTTTTATTTTAGTACAGTGATATCGTTGACGAGATTTGACTGGGACTTAAAAAAATTTACGATTTTATCTTTAAGGCAATCTAAATAAATGTTGCTTTCCAATGGTATGCTAGGTGACAAAATGATTTATTAAAGTCCAAATATTTTTTTATATGAAATTTAAAAATAGCGTCGGCGAACGAACACTCTTATTATTTGTATTATATTATATTATAGATAAGAAGGATATGACTTAAACGTGTAAATGTTGATTGATGAAAAATATGAAACTTGATATAGGCAAATCATCAAAACTCACTTGGATGGGCATGAGAGGTGGGATGAGAGGGCATGATAGGTAGCCGTGTGGTAAGCGACACGTGCGTTCGCTTGTGTTTCATTACAAAGTTATCTTTTATAAAAGACAAGATTTCGTCAATTTAACTGGTTGTGTAGTGTTCGTGTCTTCAGGAAATGCGATTATTCGATGGAAAATGTTAGAGGGCTCGCCTATGTTTGGAAGCTCACATCGATGTTGTACTCTTTAATATTTCGGAGGAGACGAGATCTTGCGGACTGGTGAATGTGATGAAAGAGTTCTTTGCCGAAAAAATAAGAAAATAAATGAAAAGGAGAGCTTTCGAGGAGAGAATAATAACTTTGGAGAGCGACGGTCTTGTTGTCATCATCTCCTTTCGCCATTGGTTCTTTAGAATGACAGGGGCACAATATTTCTTATTTTATTTTTTTTTCCCCCTCTTGACCGTAACTGGCTACTCATCCTACGCTTGAATCATTGTGGCTTAGCGCCTGGATGACAAAGTGATTGATTGTTTTGTAATGCGATAGATAGATAAAAATCTTTTAACTTAAAAGCTGCTTTGAATTTATTGAAAACTCAACGTGCGGATGTTTTATTAAATATATGATGGACACGTATTCATCTTCTAGGGTATTGTTGTTTTCCCAAACATTGAAAGTAGTCCGTCAATTATCTTCATAGAAGGACAATATTTATGAGAAAATAAACGTAGTCTAGTTTCAATCGATTATTTAATTTATTCTTGAATGTTACTGGCACTGATTTATAACAATTATATATATATATATATATATATATATATATATCTAACTTTATAAATATTTTCAGAGTTGCTATTTTACTTGGAAAGTTTTTTTTATATGCTTAATGGGCAATGTTAGCATTTCAGGATTGTGTGTGATTGTGCGAATTTTTGTTTTATTTATTTTTTTTTTTTAAGATTTATAATCGAATTAACTATTTTAATTAGATTTTGAATGACCAATAGTTGATTTATATTACAATTATTCATTACAATTCTTAAGTGTTAAAGCCTAAGTAAATTAAAATATTTATAAAATATTTGTTATCCAAAGTTAATATATTTATGGTTAAATTATCAGTACCACCCAGTCTTTGTTATAAATACCACTTACTATTTTCAAATTCCGTCAAAGGGAAAAAGTGTAGTAATTGGTGAATTGCCTAGATTCAGCTTGCAAAGACCAACGTCAATAGAACGTCGGTATTTATTCATTTAACGCTTAAATCAACGTTTAAACACCGCTGCCACTGCTCTCAGCCGCTCCCCAATTCGCGAAAGCTGCCTGTTGCGGTCGTGAATACGAGCTTCGAAACGAAACCACACCTTCTCTGCGGTATCTATATACGTACGTACTTGCACACTTGCACGCGTACGTGCCCATTCGTGCGAATCCTTAACTTTTAATCAAATTAATCTTTCCATTGTTTATTATTTTTGTACCCGTATTACATTTTTTTGCCGTATGTATTTAGTCTTTATTTATACTAATGAAATATTTATAGTTGCTATGGGTTAAATGGTTGAATCATAGGTGCATAAGGCATATGATTACTCGAACATCGCATTCTTAAATATAATGTACAATTAATAGTTAGACACATAAATGCAATTCTTAGAAAAAATATTATTCAGTGTACTGTCTACCCTCATAATGTTTTATTCAAGATGTATATGACAAATTCTATGACTAATATAAAGAACAATTTATTAAGATCTGAAAAAGCCCCCCCCCCCCCGAAAGATCTTATTTCAATTCTTAAAATAATACCAATGGTCAATCAAACAGTGTTTGCAATGCTGCTGCGTGCTGACAACTGTCTGTCTTTCTTTCGATGTTTATTTGCCAAAGCGCAGGTAGAAAACTTATGTGCGATCATGCAAGTGGCTTCCTGCATATCTACATGCTTTTTTATTTTATTTTGAATCTTTCATAAATTCTATCTCAAATAACGTTTATTCCTTTTTAATGATTTTTTTTATAATTTCATCAAAATTTATATTAAAAATATCCAATTATTAAAGTGTAATTGAAACTGTAGCACTCAACAAATTTATTCACTAAATATATATATTTGAAAATATTATTTTATGAAATCTGATAAAAAGATTAGATTATTTATGATGTTTTTTATTTCATTATTTTACTTAAATATTGTAAATGTATTAAATTGAGAAAGGTGAAATCACTTGCAATGAAGTTTTGTAATGCAATGAACAATGAAATAATAAGTTGTCAGCAATTGTAACCTTTCATATATAAATTTAACAAATGATTTATCATCCATTTTAATTTTTCTTTTTATATCGTAAAATAATATATCGTTCGTTATTATAAAATAAAAGAACCCGAATAAAAGAAATTATTCTTATGATAATACATTTTCAGAGTTTGAAAGTTACTTAATAATAATATAAATATTATTCAATTTTTTTTCTACACATGAAAATTGCCTTATGTTTATCATCTTGACGAGTAATTTAAAATGCTTTTAAAAAATAACAAGCTTGTGCTTTCATTTCATGTATGATAAAACAATAACTTAAAATGAAAATCTCATTTACAAATATATATATTATATGTTTTTGCATATTTTCGTATATTAAAAGATTCCAAATTATTTATAATTTTATTTATAAAGTAATATTAATTGATTGTCTTCTTATTTATGCTATCACTTTTATTTAAATACATTTAGACAGGGAATATTTGGATTTGGTTAATATTTTGTATTAATTGAAATGAAGACTATTAGTTTTTTGAGAATTTTGCAAATTTTTAATATTAGTTTATGAAAATTTAACACGAGAGTTTTTAAAGATACTAAACAACTTGGTTATTATAAATACATACATTTCTAACGTCGAATCATAAAATATCATCAAGTCGCGACGACTGGATCGAAACATCTTTAAAAATGTTTGCATAAAACTTCTTTTTCCATTAAAAAGAAAAAAAAAGAAGCAAATTCAAGATTTATAAGGAAAAAACGTGACAAGAGCAAAGCTCACGCGTTCCGAGTTTCCAAGACGGAAATCTTCCAGGTTGGCTCTTCGAGGATAATACACATCTCTTTCCGTATCTTGAAGCAAGAATTGCGTTTTCCGATCAGTTAAACCGACTAAATCTCAACAACGTTTTTTTAAGAGACTTTCACTCACGCGACAGACAGGATAAGCTTTAGGCCTTCATCTACGCATACGCATCCACAACTTTGTAAATATATGTGTGCAGTTGGACTGCCAGTAGATTTTGAGGGGATTGTAGTGGCAGTAAAGAGAAGAACAGGAGGAAGAGGCCAGAGAGAGAATAGAATATTACAGAAGAGGGGATAAGAGGGGAGAGCGTGAGTGGAGTAGTAGATTGAGCTGTGATTGAAAACTCAGCTTCGGGCGATACACAACGGGCTTCGATTTAAATGTGCGCTTGACTGAGTGAACGTCTTCAAGTTATACATGCACGCAACGCCTATACACGGGCAGAAATTCATGCGAGATATAAAGGGAATTTCGTAGCAACGGATCGTTTGAGCACCAATTTTCGTGAGTTAAATTTTTGCGTAATCTTCACTGCTCCTCCTACCGAGACGAACAGAGGAGACGCATGAAGAAATTCTGTGAAAGCTGAATTTGTATTCGGTAACATGTAAATTAAAAAGCTGTGCTTTGTATTTGTTATTTCTACCTTCTCACCTATTGTGATTAGGTGCATATTTAATAAGAGAGATTTCGATTCAGCTAATACGGTTTACTTCTTATTTTCATAAGATTTGTAATTAAATAGTCAAAGAGAAACGACCTAATACTCGATAGAGATTGGGAGGAAAGTGCCTTTTCAGCGTATTACTGACGATTTTCAAGGTATTTTATATTCGATACAAAACCACGTTTTACATGAAAAAAGATACAACTTTCATTAAATTAAAGTTGAAAATTATGGAACACAATTTATACATTAAAATTTAAATGTATTAACTTATAATATGTTTGTGAGTATTATGATAATGGATTTTCTTCAAATTATGTTCTAGGCAAAACTCGACAAGAGCCAAAATGGCAAACCTTCTCGAGTCATTCACATCAGAAATATTCCGAACGAGGTATCCGAAGGCGAGATCGTTCATCTGGGCATTCCGTTCGGTCGTGTCACCAATGTACTCGTTCTTAAAGGCAAAAACCAAGTAAGTTAATTATTTTCATGCCGGTTCCAATGAGGACACTCTCTATAATACAAATGAATTAAAAATAAACAGATATCAAGAATTCTGTTGACGAATGATGTATTATTAATATTTGATTCAAAGGCATAGAGAGTGAAGTTTCTAAAATTAGCGATAAAATTTTAAGTCATTTTAAATGTCGCGTGTCTAATGATCGATCATAGGTACGATATTATTAAGCAAACGAGAGAATCATTCAAATAGTTTAGTTTTCGTATTCTAATTATCTACATGTTAAATGGTTATTCTTAAAACAAACCGGCAAAGCAACAAAGAAAACACGACGGACGAGAAGGGGAGAAAAACGCGGACCATGAAAGTCGTTCTACACATTTCGAATGGAATTACACGCTCGCGTAACGGAAAGCCGCTTCATGCTGCATTGCCTGCTCGCTCTGCTCTTGTCGCGCGTGCAACAACAGAAACAATCGAATCGACGATCATCGTTTATCCATTATCTGGAAACAAAGGGTTGAGCGTGGCCCGACGCCTCCCGCTCGTTCAATTGTTCATTACCTTGCGCCGGCACTTTCGTGTGTGAAAGCCTGCACCAACAGTCCGACCTAATCTAACTTAACGCTCGTCTCGGGGTCGGTGCCTCTATCCGTGCGACGTTTGGGTTACAAAGACAGACAGACGGAAAGAGAGAGAGAGAGAGAGAGAGAGAGAGAGTGAGAACCAATAGCTTGGTCTCTAAGACAACGTCTCGGAACTCTGGATTCTCAACTTGTTGCGGATCCGGAATTGCAATTGACTGAGCGTTCAAAATCGAGACTTTGCAACACAAGTTATGCCTCGTTCTTTAGAAGTACATTTTTATACTTGCACATGCATTGGTAAAATTCCTTTGTTCGCGTGTTCAGCACAATAATTGGAGTTTAATTACGATACTCGTGAACAGCTTGGTTTTTCATTTAAGCAATTTGTTTCCATCCGATGCAATTCTATTTGCAATTTAAATTATTATTACTAGTTTAAAGATTGATTTATTTATTGACTTCTATATTATTTAATTACCTAAACAAAAGTTGATATAAATAACAGTCAAGTATTTTGAAACTGTTGCAATATTAGTTTTCATTGCGTTACGGTCGATTATTTTCAAAGCCTTTTTTCAATTATCGGCTACAATTGGCAAATAAACATTTTTCCAATCGCTCGCTTTTTCCATTCTTTCCCTGTACTAGTATGCGAATGAGTTCACGAGATAATCATTGATGCGAAATATCAATCCGAAATCTAATTTTTGTCCAATTAATACGTATCTAGTGAGCAAAGGTCACTAGACGAGTAGTTTCTTTTAATTACTCAAGCTATACACTTAGCTTTTTTATTTAAAAATTAGTTAATTTTTTGCACACATTATGCAATCGACCAATAATCGTAGTAGGACGAGAAAACTAAGTGACTACGTAACTAAATGGAAAATTAGTGAACGCCGGTTTCAAAATAATAGAAATCTACTTGACAAGTTAATAATGTTATAAATATACATGAAATTATAATTCTATTTGTATCATTTCCCTCAATTTCATATTTATTGTTTCTATTTAACACCCGATTCGTTATTTAACAATTTGTTATTTTAAGTAAAAAATCTTTTTCTAAACTATTGCAACTAAATAAGATGGTCTGTTTGGCTCAATTTATAGTTTTTATATTTCACGTTCAAATACATTAGATATAAACTTTATTTGACGATATATAACAAAGTTATCTAGATAAGAAAGAATCTAGTTTAAATTTATAGACTATTGTACATAAATAAAAGTCTACATATTATTTTTACGAGCTTAATGTATTCTTCATAATAAACAACGACTTTGTGACATCACGTGGTACCTATGCACGTAGAGGTCTAATATCTGTATCACTATATGTATCAATGGTATTATTATCTATATAGATTACCAAGTTCAGCTCAACAGAGGGATCAAACATGCCGGGGATTTTCGGAAAATTAGCGATCGGCGCGCGCGAGCGTCGTATGTTTCATGGATTTAGGTTTATTATTATGCGAACGTGGCACGCGTGAATAGCTAAATAACACACAGACTCGAATAAGCGGGTAATTTTTGTTACCGGCAGAGGAAATTTTATGTAATGTAAAATTTTTGTTTATTTACAAATTAATGCATTTTAAATTACTTATGTTAATACGATTGAGAAAAGAAGTGCATTTTTGTATCGGATAAGCAGCACACTTTAGGAGATAAGGGATTAGCTTGCTTGGATATATATTTGAAAAGTAAACTTTTGTTAAATTGACAATAAAGTATAACAAGCCTCTGCTGTTTCATCTAATGTTCATTCTATTTTGTAATACTAATTTAGTGCTCAGTTCTTTAGATATATGATAAAAACATTAATTTTTAAATTGCTCGTATATTTCTATATAGTAATTATTAAAAATATCATTCTTTTCAATCATTAATGTAGACGATCCTGAATCATGACTCAGTGTTGACGTGAATCAACACTCGATTATAAGCATATCCTGCATTATTGGATTATTCGTTTGTTTAAACGAGAAAATATATTTCAAATAATGTTTAAAAATTTGTAATAGCCTGCGAAACGGAGTTGAAAAGACCAAAGTTGTTGGAGCAACGAAAAGTCAAGTTTGTAAATTACGTCCCTCTAGAAAATTCTCTTTATTCGCCCTAAACACTCAACCCCGAAGAATTCCCACAGGCGCGCGAGTTTACCGAATAAGAGAGCCTGGGCGTACGGTGTGACGCATTTATTAAGTCGACCGCGAGCGGCAAACGCACCCCTGCGTATTGCGGTCGGTCGACTCGGTTAGAAGATTAAAATATATGTAATCACGAGCGATGAAGGACAGAGAATGAGCGAAAATCACGCGTGCATTAACGTAGGAAATGTGGCTCGAGCGTAACAAAAGTGCGTGCTTAGGCTCAATTGATTTATCAAGTCCGGGGAAGTGTTAGTAAACAACGATGGCTGCCACGACGCTTTCGTTCGCGAAATACGCAAAAGCTCTTTGGCTCGTTATTAAATGTTGATGCCACTCCTCCAGATGGTTCTATGACTGAAATAGTTGGGTTTACTTGCATGTGACTCGATGTATCTATAGGTATTTTTGATGATTACGATCACACGTGGTTTTTGAAGGTGATGGCCAGTACGACCGATACATCAATCGAGCGTGCTAATGCCGCATTAATTGGCTGCCTTTGTATTTTGTAATTATTCCGAATAGAATACTTAAATGAGCTTTAAATGTTATTAATTATAGTATTTAGTTTATATATATTTTTATATTATAATATATTTATTATATAATATATTTATTATATAATATTTATTATATATTTATTATATAATATATAATATAATATAATATATTATAATATAAATTTATACACATTTATGGCGACTCCTTTTGGCCTTTTCATTTTAAAAACTAAGTTACGAATTATTACATGCGCATGTTATATTGCCTTCCATTTTGCTGCGCTTGTATTTCTATTTTCATTGACGAAGCGCTTAATTTTCAAAACAATTATATATTTCTTTCGTTTTTATTCGTTATTACGATTAACCTACTTGCCTTTGTTAAGTGTTTCGTTATGATTTATTTAATCGTTAATAATTGTTGTTTGCAATTTTCGATACTCCAGGAATTATGGCTTTGAACTGGAGGCACCGACGCATTGATCGACGACAAACAATGGCTGCGTGCTTTTACGTTATTATTGCAGGCATTCACTTTTATGGGGATCTTATACCTTTTATAACAAGCACTACTGAAGGCCACGCCAACTTTGATGTTTAAAAAGACATACTGTAATTTTTAATCGTTTACTGTAGTAATGTTTTCTTATAGAAGCTGACATGATCTAAGGTAATATCGAATTCATACCGGTACACATAATTAGCAAATAACTTCTCAATAATTTATATAAAATGTCGATATGTTCATTGCTTAATTAACCTCAAGTTTTATATCGCGCAGAACAATGTAAATCTCGCTATTAGCATGATACACAACACAATTGGAATCGACTTGCTTCGAGATTTGTTCACTCTTATAATCGTCCGTAAATTTATAATTTCTCGAAACTGGAGTTGGCGAGGATAGGTAGAGTCCAGTTAGTGGCAGCTTCCTTGCACTCCTGACTATAACTAACTTACCGGAAGCTTGACAAATCAAAGTAAATACGTGCGGGGAGTGAAAATGCCCACGGGGGATGACAGCCGTAGCTGCTTTCACTTACCACCACTTTCCTCCTTAACTCGCTCATCGGAAATTCATATTTACATGAACTGCTGGCTCCGCCGGAAATCAGGTTGGCCGTCTGTTTAGCTGCTTGTTGCCGATGTTACACACGCATCTATCTATTCGCTATATTTCTTCGTTGTCTTTAATTATATTTATTGTCACTGGTTTACTCAATGTTTCTTAAATGTATTATAATAATTCCGAGGTCAGATTATAAAGCAAAAACTTAAGTACTATCAAAATTTTTATTTTTATACTTGACAAAACTATTACTTCATTGACATTTCTAGCCTTATTGAAGTATGTAATGCATTTTTATTTATGAATAATATTTGGATTATCTTATTATTAGTTATATTTTCCTTTATAATTTTTATTAAGAAGTATTTTAGATGAAAAGTATCATCGTGTTATTATTCGTAATAAAAATTTAACATTCAAGAAATTCTTGATAAAATTTTGAAAGTAAATATTTTCTTATCCATTTTCTTTGTATGTGTTTTAAAATTAAAAGCATTCATTTGTTTTGAGTAAATATTTTAAATAAAAAAAAAAGTATCTTCGGTATAGCGAAAAGTCAATTTTCAATATTAAGATTTTGTTATTATCTTTTTTTTTAATATCAATGAAAAATGGGAATAGAAAAAAATGAGTAATATTTTTTTCTTTTAAGAAGATTTATAAATCACGTTATAAGCCAAAATTATAAGCCACT